CCCCCCCCCCCCCCCCCCCCCCCCAACACACCTAATCACATGTGAGCTGCGCTGACTTCAAATTTCATGGCATATTGCCCTGAATTAAACCCACCCTGCACCGTTTTGTATTAAACCTCATCTGGTAGGCGCAGGTGGAAAGGCTTCTTTGGCCTTCTGAACTGCTTCTCCTTAAAGCCTAAGGAACCTTGGCCATGTTTTCCAACAAAGCTGAAGTTAAAATCTGTTCACAGCATTCCTCAGCCCACACCTCCATCTTGTTTATCCGCTTCCCTAAGCAGAGCCTTGGCTGTTATCCAGTAGAGCTGGAGAGAGGCCCTCGGGGCTTTGGATTCAGTCTCCGTGGCGGAAAGGAGTACAACATGGGTTTATTCATCCTGCGGCTTGCTGAGGACGGGCCTGCCATCAAGGACGGGAGAATCCACGTGAGTTATTTGGAACGCTTGTGAGTTCTGTCAGCTTGGAGAAAGTGGCATTCACAGGATATTTTATGGCTCAAGGAGGCAACAAATCTTCTTCCCTGTTAGTGCAGTAGCCCAGCAGGCAGAGCAGGTGTTGATAGTGCTACCATCTTTGAGTCACAGTCTCAAGTGCCACCATGCTAGCTGGGTGTTCAGGCCAGGCGCCGCCCGTCTATGGCGTAGTGAGACACGTGTCCCGTAACACAGGTGTCAGGTATCCGGAGGAGTGTTTTTCGGATGCCTGCAGTGGAGATGGCTCTGTGAAGCGTGAGGCCTGTGAGAGACTCCCATAGTCCAAGTAAACGTGGGCTTGCCCAAGCTGTCCGACCTGGCATCTGTCCTGGGCTTCTGCAGGGTGCCACGCTCTAGAATGTGTCCAGAACCGCTTCTTCCCAGCTGTGGCGCCATGATGGCTCTTGTGAACGTCGTCAGGTTCCCACCGTGCAGTCCTGGCTCTGAAGCAAACCACCAGGTCCAGAAGACAAAGTGTGAAGCAGCCCCACGGCAGGCAGAGCTCTGAGACCCGTCTCACAAGTACCTGAACCCTGTCTTGTTGGTCCATAGCCTGCAGAACAGGGTTAAGGCTCAGCAAAGTGCCAGGGCTGCTGCGGGGCTTAATTGGATGTACAATTCTTAAGTATTATTAGATGTTAATTGTCCCAGTTCTTTACAGTAATTAACTGTTTCCTTATGCTTGAGAGCTTCCTGGAGCATGTCCCTGCTGCTTCTGTTTTTTTGGTATTGCTCCTTCAAGTGGGGTTAGTCCAAATGCCAAAGATTTACTTCCCGGCTGCACAGACAGGGCTCGCACTGGAGAAATTTCTCAGCCATAAACAGCATCCAGCAGGCACAGTTCCCTGTGCCCAGGCTGCGTCCAGCTTTTTGTAGGCTCCTCTCCCAGGCTACCGGGACAGTAACAAAGCTGTTTGGGCTCTGTTCTGAAAAATGCCATTGGCGCACGGATCCGCCTCCTCCGCTGAGCTTCGGTGCCAAAGCCAGCGGTGGGCGGTTGGTTTGACTGCAGAGCTGTGCAGTGAGAAACACCACCACGGGAGTCCCTGCTTCCCTGCAGAGGCCCATCACCTGCCCACCTAAACCCAGCTGCATTCGGTCAGTGTCGGGGGGCTTTGGCAGGGCTGCTGAGACAAGGCCCCATCCTTCCTGATATCACACCTGAAAGGAAGAAAATGGTGGCTCTGCTTTTACACCCCTGGGTTTCTAGCTGTGCCTCTACACTAGTAAAATGATCCCCCAGTAGCTCCATCTGTGGTAAATTGCTACCACATTCATGTAGATGGCCACAGCAGGACAGTTAAGGCACCTGCATCCCATCTGAACCATGACCACCACTGGAGCTGCCCCCCAGGAGAAGCTTTCAGTGTCTCTCTGCTCATGGGAACACCCACAATCATGTCCTTTACAGCAGGGAGGGGAAAGCTCTTGCAACAGAGAGGTGAGGGTGTGAACAGATTTAATGCTTGTGACAGCATACAAAGGTGCTAAGCTAAGAAGAGCAGGCTCGAGAAACCTGCAAGTAGGATGTAACCTAGACATGCCCCCGCCAGAGCCAAAGCTCAGCGTCATCGCGTTCACCATCACGTGTTGCTGAGTATCTCCCTCTTTGGCCGCTGGGATGTGTCCAGTCCCTGCTTGGTCCTGTCTTAATTTCAGAGGCCAGCTTATGAAAGTAGCTCTAATTGCCCAGGCCTGGATGCTAGAGGCTGCCCCAGTAATGAAGTGCAGCTTTGGCCCCATATTTAAGGGGTTTGTTTTCCAAAGCTCTTTGCAGCTCCTCTCTCAGGACGCAGGTTCCCAGGATCACAAGCCGTGTGAGAGTTGTGGTCCTGGCAGGTAACTTGTCGCCTTCTCCTGAAACAAAATGTTATATAACTGCCCCAAGGCGCGGGCTTTCTCAGCTTCAAGCTTTATGCGGTAGTGACACCTAATGGCAGATCAGTTCCACTGCTATGGCCTTACAGTCCTTTGCGGGATCCAGCCCAGAAACTTTCTGGTGCTTACAAAGGGAGAGTAAATCACAGCTGCCTGCCTGTTACCTGAGAGGGTTGTCAGGGTGCAGGGCCCTCCCAGCTGACGGCTCATTAGTGAGTGAGGAGTCGAGCAGTGACCTCTCACCCACGGAACAATAAATCTTTCCTTTGGTAGAACTATAGCAGTGTATTGTTAAGTCACTGCTGCTTAATTTGGAGCCATTACCACATCACTTATAACACCTGAGTTAAGCATATGTTTAACATGTTTTTAAAGAGCCATACGCTGGAGGTCCCCGTAGCCAGGCATCCAGCCCATTCCTTTGTAAGACGTACACAAGAGCATGGCTGTATCTGCACTGCTTAAATAACTGGTCTGCATTTATTCTGTGGAGTCGTGGAAAGCCTCCCGAGATCTGCTAGTGAGAGTGGCTTAGAGCAGCTATCCGGATCTCTGCATGCCTCGGCCATGCTCTGCCACAGAGTCTGATGACCAGTGATCATGGGAACAGGTTTCACGCGTGAGAGGCGGCAGGCTTGTCCGCACACATGGCTGCGCTGGTAGCGCTGTAGAACGCGCTCGTGGCGACAAAGCTTAACCTGGCTGGTGTTTGTCTGCAGGTTGGGGACCAGATTGTGGAGATCAATGGGGAGCCCACCCAAGGAATCACTCACACACGAGCCATCGAGCTGATCCAGGCTGGTGGGAGCAAAGTTCTTCTTCTCCTCAGACCCGGAACGGGCTTGATACCAGATCACAGTAAGTGATGTGCCATGCCGAGCCTTTTGGCAGCACTCCACCGACCGTTTGGGCTGTCTCTGTCCCACTCTGGCTTTTAAGGAGAATGTGGAACAAATTCCTGATCTCTTCTCAGTGAATAAATGGGCCTGGCGGGAGCGAGGAAGACAGAACATGATTCTGTGCATGTGCTTGTCACCCCATCTCCTGATCTGATGAAGAGAAGTGTCCTCACCTGTCGGCATTTAATCTCTATTCTCCTGTGTCCAGATGTGATAACGAAGGGGGCTGTTGGCTTTGATACCAGAATAAAGCTCCCGTACAGCACAGAAGGCCCAGGTCAAACTGCACAGCCAAGGCGGCTCTTTTTGCAGAGTTTTACTTGTTTCTTTTTAACTGTCAAATCCCAAAACGTTTAATGTTTTCCAGGCCAAGGCTGGAAGGAAAGGGAAGGCGTTTGCCTGGAGGACTACGGTTGTGTCCTTCGTTGAGCCTAGTGGCTTTGCACATAAGAGAGCAAAGCACAAATCCACGAGCACTTTGCCTGGGCAGGAAGACAAATGCCTGCAAGAACTTTGTGTTCCATTCACGGGGTGGGGGCATTACACACAGGTCTGAGTTAGACTTCACGGCATCTAGGAAAAATCAGAGATCAGATGTGGAGCTGCGGCAGCATTTCCAAACAAAACACGTGCCCCGGGAGGTAGAGGAGTGTTCCTCCAGCTGTCCCTTCGTGGCTGCGGTCAGGCTTCTGATGGGATGCTTTGGAAGACCTGCTGTTGCTCCACAGATGTTCACGCTTTTGAGAAACCAGTGAAAATCGGAGCTCCCAAGTGCTCAGTAGTCTCTGCAGATCTGTCGGTATTCTTTTACTGTAAATAGGCAGCGACTGACATTCACGTAGGAACGGTGAAGTTGCTCACTAAAGCGTTTCAGTGTTTTCTCTCCTCCCCAAGAAAGGTAGAAACTATCTCAACAAGTTGCAGTCCTCCAGCGTGGTGCCGTATTCAGTTAAAAAGTGATTTAGTCTGAGGAATGAAAGCTCAGGAACATCTATTCTGGATTGTTAACCAGCACTTCACATCTCCACAAACGCTCATGTTGAGTTTCTGTGCATCTCCTGTGCGGCTAGTGTGGATGCTGATAGTGCTTACTTAGTGGTGGTATTCTGAAAATGAACCCATTGCTCTTTGGGCATCTTAGACCTGGTTCTCTCAGAGGGCGGCACAGATCCTGAAGTTCCTGTGCCTCTCCCTGATAGTGACTGTTAAACCTAATTGTGCCATGAACTGAAATTACTGTGGACTGAGGAGAAACATTGGATGAGCTCCGTAAGAGTTGTACACTGTGCCCTGGCACCACGGGGACATAGCGCTTCACAACAAAGGCAGCCGTCAGTCTCGGGCCACAGCCCCTGCTTGCTGAGCTGTGCCAGGCCGGCGGGAGGCAGCGTAGGGAGGGAGGGTGGTTCCACGCTACGCTGCAGTGTCGCACTTGACTCGTGTGGTTTTGGTGACATCTGTTGCTCTGTGATTTGGTATATAGTCCGGGCTTTTTCTCTTCCTCCTTCAGGTTTGGCTCCTTCCGGTTTGTGCTCCTACGTGAAACCTGAGCAACACTAAGGCTTTCAGTGCTTTTCTTGGTCTTTCCTTAAAGACTTGGTAAATCTGCATGTCTTGTGATTCACCTCTTTCTGTTTTTTAAAGTCCAGTGCTGTAAGTGATAGCTTCCCCCTTTCCCTGTGTCGGTTTTCTTTGGGCTTCCCTTGTAACGATGTTGGTCAGGGATTTTTGTGCATGTGCCATAGAAGCCCTAAGCTGTGCCGAGTCCTGTGTTCAGGGCATGCACATCGCAAGCCCCCACCGGTCTCTGCAGAGGTGACGCACCATCCCAGGGGCTTCTTTTTGAACTGTGATGCTCTCAGCAGCGTTGAGAACCTGAAGTTTCATGTGCAAGAAAATTGCGATTCCAAAAATCAATGCAAGCTGTTCTGTTTTAGCAACTGGAGTGCTAGGATCACATACGGAAAGTGTGTAACTGGGAGCCTCTCTAGTATGTTGTGTGCAAGTGTTTGTTCCACGGTGTTTAGTCACACTGCTCTGTCTGCTTCCAGGTGATTGGGATCGTTTCAGTCCATCATCTTCAAACATAATATATGATGAGCAGTCACCATTGCCCTCCTCATCACATTCTGCTTTCACACCTGACGTGGCTCGTACACCAGTATCAGAAGACACTTTAAAGAAAGTTCAGATGTCTGAAAAACTGGAAGAAGTGCAGAACACTGTGCCTGACAAGAAAAGCACTTTAACTGAAAACCAGTCGGAGAGGATGCACCTGTCTTCTACCCAGAAGAATATGAACAGATGGGACCAGGCCACGGGCCCGGGGTATCGGGAGACGAAAACTAACCCAGGCTTAGTGACTGGCAACATCAGTGGCAGAGGCAGATCTACAAGTCCACAAAAGCCGGGTGTTCCTAAGGAGCAGAGGACTCACAGCCCCAGAAAAGTGGAGCCTAAAAAACCACACAGCAGCCTCCCAGACCTTTCTGGGAGTCCAAGGAGGGGTGAGAAGAAACGCGCAGAAATCAACACAAACGCAGTGTATGAAAAAGGCCCTCTCAGGGGAACCCACGGCAGATCTGCTAGTCCCCAAAAGCATCCTAGTAAAGGAGGAAACGGAGAGAAATTACACAGGCTACCAGACTATCAAGGTCGACCAGCTGCTAATGATGCTACTGAGACTGCTGAGCAGGTCAAAGATGGCAAAGAAAAATCAGGAGTCGCAAAGAAAGATATGAAGCAAACCATTTCTGAGAAGAATGAGAGGTGGTCTCGAGAGAGAAAGCACCCAAGACCAAACGAAAAGACGGTTCTGTTTAATAAGGCCAGTGAACCCAGGAGAAACGTATCTGAATATGAACATGGAGAGGAAGCAAACTCTGGAGAGCCAACTTCTGGCAAAATGAAAACTGCAAGTCTTTCCGATATCGCACTGCTTTCCGTGGAGACACAGGGCAGGCCAGAACCTCGAGAGGCAGCTCTTCTGCACCGAATCCAGAGAGACAGAGACTTGGAGTCAACTGATGAAACCAAAGATGACGGCATTTCAAAACCTGACAGCAGTTCCCCGGTCAGGAAAGCACCGATAACTCCTGGACCTTGGAAGGTACCAAGTGCACGTAAAGTCACAAAAGCAACAGGTGTGACTGAAAAACGGGTCTGACTGAACTTTTTTTAGGACATGTTTTAATCAAGTTTCTAATATGGTCAATTACAAGAATCATTTCTTTTCACAAAGCTGTCATTTTTCAGGAACTGTGATTAAGGGGGTGGGAGGGAGCATTTGATTTGTTCTTAACCTATCTAACTGCATGAAGGACCTTTGGGATCGCTTATAAGAAACTCTTCCACAAGCTGCTGCCCCTCGTCATTTTGAAGGCGGTGCCCTGCTGCTCAACATTGCACTGCTACAGCTCTCTGATAGTATTGTGAGTTTCTGAACAACATTATTTAATGCCTATATTGCCAATGTGATCATGATTCACTGCTTGTTGTTGTGCCAAGTTATCTACTGTATCCCATCCAGTTAAACCTTTTCATCTATGTTTTCCAGTCACAGAAAAGGCAAGATTTTGATGAAAATGAGTATTTTTTTCTCAAAAAGCATGTTGCATGTTTCCATAGGGAGGTACCCACACCCTCACTGCTTCAGAAAGAAGTTGGGTGGCTGGTTCTAGCAACCCCTGCCCCACTCACGCTGCCCCAAGCAACACTTTTCCCTGAAGGTCCCTTAAGCTGCTTTGAAATAGTTTTGAGAGTCTCTGAATCTCTGAGGAGAGGAGAGGAGGAGCCTCGGTTCCAGGTAGCACAGTGGATATTCCAGTGCCCGACTCAGCGGCGATGCTTGCTAGGAGAGTGAGAGATGGCGTGCCGCACCTGGGTGCAGCCCAGAGCCCCCGCCGGCTGGCGGGGCAGGATCTCGCCCGGCGCTCTTTGGACACGGAGTAGGCGCTCGCCACACGCGCCTCCGCCTCCTGTGGGCACCGTGCGTTGGACTCCTCTGTGGTATCTCTAATGCGAGTTCATTTCTTGTCTTGCCTGTAGACTGAGTGTTGATCTGTGAGGCAGAACCACCGTGGTCAGCTTCTGAAGCAAAGAGTCCTCCCCTTGCCTGTGCCTCCTATTAGAAGTCTCCCGTATTTTATTTTTAATATGTGATTTGTTTTAAATGTGATGTTTTAAGAGTGGGGAATCAACGATGTACAGGGTACATGAGACTTAATATCTATTCTTTGGGCTCTAATATGTATTTAAAGATAATGCTGAGGAATGAGCAACATCGTATTTGCATATCAGTCACATAATGAACTGGAGGCGTAGCAGTCTTCAAAAATTGCAAGGTTTGGATTTCTAAATAGTATCAGCAATGGATCTGCCTCTGCAAACAGAACTATAGCAGCAGCTCATTGGTCCAGTTTGCAGAAGCAGGTAGGGAAAAAAGGGTCAAAAAGCCAAACTGGGCCTTCATGTTAAATCTGAAGTGACTGTGACTGGCTCATGAAAGACCCAACTGACATCTGCCTGCTTGGGTCTAGAGTTGTTGTGAAGCTTTGTGAGGCAAAGCAGATGAGTTCCAAGCTTGCACTAGAAACTTTTTAGAAATACAGACGACTCTACTTGGCAGCAGGTCTAAATGAAGAACAATCCTAAAATAGGCTTCAGACCGTCCTCTGCTGCTTCCTATTTTATGAATCCATTAATTTGCTGTAGCATAATGTGTACAAATACTCGATATTGTAGAGTATGACTGTGAAAATATTTCATATTTGAACTAGCCTATGTAGATATTAACCATGTATTCTTGATTGGTAAACCTCCTGGAGTCTCTTCATTAAGAGTTGTATGCACCTGTGCTAGCCATTGAGTACAGTACCAAATTCAGAAACTTGATGAATTAGCACCATTGAAATTCCTTTCCCTTCCTGTCGGCAAGTACCCATCCAAATGCTATTTTTTCTGATCGTTTGCATTGTGACCTGATTTGGTGTCTTATCTGTTTGTGATTCCTCCTTTCCAGACAACCTGTATCTGTACTTACTGTATAAGATGACTTAGCAACGTGGCCTTGGAGTGCTAAGCAACATATGGATGTACTGGATGTAAATGTTTATATATTGTACAGCACCTTTATATATACTTCTGAGGTTCTGACTAGAGAGACCTGTAAATCGCTCATTATTTTTTATATAGATATTAAAAAGAAACTCCAGCTCATGGCCTGCTGGTTCTTGCCCTGTATGATGCGTGTTTGTTGACTTTCAGCAGTGGCGGTATTTTTCAGATGACCAAGTAATGTTCAGTGAAAATGTGTTTCTCTCTTGTTTTAATTCACAATTGGCTGCAGTCCTACAAAAAAGATGGCAACACATCGTCGGATGATCGTTTGCTTCTGTAGATTTATTTGTACCTAAACACAGACATTTCGTTAACTACTGTCACTTGCTTTTCCATCTTGCAGCCTCTCATGGTACAGAAAAGAGTTTTGCACAAATGATTTATTACAAAAAGGGACCTTTGCCAGCCTGCCCCTTAGGATGTGAGCGGGAAGAAAGATGTTATGAAAAGGGATCCCTTTGTTCCGGCAGAACATGAGCTCCGTGACCGACTTCAACCTTAATATATTAGAAACTAGCCAGTGTACCACAAGGAAGGGAGAATATGAGCTGCACCTCACAATGTAGCTGTGCCTCTGAGGGAGGCTTCTTCACAAGGAACACGTGAAGAGAAACAAATGAGCAACCGTGGTGCCCATCAGCCTGCCCTTCGGTTTTGTCACTAAGGATTTGGGCCTTACCCTTCTGAGGCAGGCATGTCTATAGAGTAAGGCACTGTGAAGTGGAAAGCTTTAAGACTTACCAGATGGGCTTGACCCACCTCCTCCAACCTACTGCCATGAAGGTGTATACGTGTACCCCATTGACGGTAGGTAGCTGCTGAACTGCCCCTGGAGTGCGTTAAGGTGTATCACACACGGATGCAGTCACGTTTGCTTGTTCTGCTAAAGCCTGTAGGTTGGTGTCCTGCATTAGTGTTCGTGAAACTATCCTCTCTCCTGGTGGGAAACAGCCCTCCTCATGCAAACAGCATGAATCTGCTATGCAACTGATGGTTCAAGTGTGTTCATTTTGCAGCCCTGAATTTCACCGCATCTCTCAGTAGTTCAGAATGGACAGGCATGGCCAAGGGCAGATTTGGTGTCTCCAGCAAGAATGTGCCGACTCAAATGAGGCAGTATGCCTTGGCGTGCACTTGCACTTTGAGGCTGCAGAAGTTTAACTAATTTAAATGGGGCTCTGATGGGTTGGTTGAATGAGCCAGGGTACAGAATTCGTTGAGAACAAGGCAACTACAGCAAACTCCCAAGTCTCCTTTGCCCCCAGCAGTGGCGCACTTGACCTGGGCAGTTCTCAGGAGTGACTGCTGGGATGCAACCGTGAACGCGCTACTTCAAATAAGTGAACAGCGGGAGCACAGACTCAAGGTGGAACTAGGCACGTTTAGCTGAGAGAACTGGCGAAGCTGCCACAGTAAACTGACCAGGAGGCTGCAGTTACTCTGGCCCTGCAATAGGCTTAACCGTGTTGTGACCCTGGTGTGTGCAAGCTAATCGGTGTGCAATTCCCAGCCATTCTGTTTCCTCTTGTGTTTTCCATTGACTTCAGTGCAAGCTGCAGCCTGTGCTTGTGGTGTGAGCAGCATGCTCCTGCTGAAGCACTACAGTCTGTTTGGTGGATGCTGCAAATCATGGGTTGGCTTCACTGCAGGTGATGAAATAAGCTGTGGGTGACCCTTTGACACAAACCAAACCTCCAGGTAAGAAATACTGGTGAAAGATCTGCCAGAGGTTGCGAGCACTCTGCAGCCAGCCACCGTCCCTCTTCTCTC